GACACGGACAATTCACACACACAAGAGATTTAAATTGGCCATCAACAGAAAGTATGTTTAAAATCATTAATAGAAAGACAAACTAAAACACTGAGCTATGACTCCCAAACAGCAAACTGGTGAAAATAAAAAATATGACACATGCTGTTGGTAAGGTTGTAGGAAAACAGGCATTCTCACACATTGCTGGAAGAAATGCAAAGTGTTGTAATTCCCCAGGAGGAAAAAATGGCGGTACCTTACAACACTGCACTCGAACCACTTCTAGTCTACCCTAAAGTCAAATCTCACAAAAATAACACCAAGGTTATTCATGATGACTGTGTAATAATGGAAATGGCAAAATGCCTACTCAGGGTTTAACGGGCTGTGGGACATCCACCCTGCGGACCACTATGAAGGTATAAAAAATGATGGCAATTTCTATGAACTGATTGCTCTACAGAGTGATTTCCATGTATACTAAACGAAAAAAGCAAAGCTACTGACTTGTGTAGAAGAAAAACAGGATTACACAGATAACTAAAGAGATTGGTTATCAATATGGGGTTGGTGGGAGAAGTAGGGGATGGAGTGACACTTCTCTGAGAATCTTTCAACATAGCTCTCTTAATGTTTCAGGTTCCATTCATATATCCCCCAAATAAATAAACTTAACTATGATGGGGGAAGGGTACCCAAAATAGAGTAAAAATGCCAACAATTACAAATGTCTAACAACCGCACAGAAGGGGGACTGGGAACAAAAGGTGTGGAAAACATTTCTTCGTTCTTTATCTCCCTCCAACTGTACAAAGGCTCGTGTATAGTGAATAAATGTGTGTTCCTCATGGGTTGGCAATTCTGAAACTAGTTTCTGTGTATACTAGAACTAAGTAAAAAGCCAAGTTTATAAGAGCTGGGCTTCTTACCATGAGGGAGACAAGCTACAAATAAGGCAAATGCAATCCCTGAGGGGAACTGTAATCGGAAGAGACCTGGGAGAGCTGAGGTGTCTGTGTGAGTGAGCATACGTACATTTACTCTGTGTTTGCAGAAGGCCTAAAAACAGTGGCACCTGAGTAGCAGTGAACACATCTAGTTCCACCCGTGCTTTAAAGATGCCATTCTCTAAATGGGCCCAGAGATCCCTGAGGAAGTGGTTGACCCAGTACTAGAAGAGGGAAAGTACAAGATAAATGTGGGACATCTGAGGTGCCAGACGAAAGGACATGGCAAAGAAAGGTGGGGAGTCTACCTGATGGAACTCCTCATAGCTAGAGCTAGTATGATTGAAGGAACAAAATAACAGGATTATAACCCATAGAATAAAACACACATCCACGAGCCCATCATGATCTAACCAGTTAAGTAAGTGGGGAAGAAAGGATTAGCCTTTCCTACTGAATTCCAGTGAATATAAACATAAAGAAAACAGATAACTACTGCAGTAATAACTGTTCTAGGCAAGATGCTAAATTAGCATCTTCTTCAAAGTTCACGGAGAAATCTGCATTGTGTCTCTGCATCGTCTCACAAGTGTCTCCAAGATACACAAAGGGATTGATGGCACTTTACAAACAGGAGAAACTTGGTAGAAACCACTTGCCTATGAAGTGAAGGCTGTCCACCTGTTAGAAGCTGATGGCATCACCTCTGTGATGCAGTAAGGACACATCCTTTTTGTGGTAGTCTTGCCCAACACCACCTCATTCCAGTCGAAGAAACCCCCAAGTGTGTGGACTTTGGCCTGTGAGCCTCTGGGCAAGTGGACAGGAGCAGGCTGCAGCCTTCCAGCTGTGCAGGGCCCCAACCAAAAATCGTCTTGGTTTGTGCTGCTCACAGAATCAGGCTAAAACCAAGATAAAGCCCAGAGCAAGGCACCCATGGGAGCTGATTAGGAACCTGCAGTGAACTGATTTTAAGCTGCAATTATTTTTAGCCACAAGACTCAAGCAGCTTTCAAAATCTGCTAGTAAGAGCTCCCCATTATAGCCAGCAAGTAAAACCATTACAAAAAATGTAGCTTTGAACTTAATTCAATGTCAGGAATCTGCCTAGCTCAGAGCTGGCTTACAAGGCAGACAAAAGGAGGAAATCATTTTCTACGTTAAGTTCAGATAAAATTTTCATTTCTAGTTGAATTATGAGCAAGAAAGAATGCCATTGAGAAGTACCAGCACAGTGGAATACACACTAGTGCTTGAGGGAAGTAAGCTGTCTCTGCCTGTACTCGGTACTGTGTATGTAAGTTGGACAAAAATCGTTTTGCCCCATAAAACCTGAAAGCCAACAGAATCTGATGGTAGTAAGTGCTGACAACCTCCACCCCTTTCCACGTACTTTGGGGTGTTTTCGGAGTGGCTATTAGAACCTGAAGGGACGTAAATGAACTCATCCATAAGCACAGAGTAGCCAGACTAACCCATACTGGGACCTGATTGCTGGCTGCTTCCCACAGGCTCCAGGGCTGCTGTGAATCGCAGGGTGAGACTGATGGGGCCCTGGGATGGTTTCTCTGAGCACGGCTCAACATAAGGAAAAGGCCCTAGTGAAAGCCAGGGGAAAGGAGAGCTCTGGGGAAAGGGGTTTGCCTACTGCTCCCCCACGGCAAACATGACAGAGTCTGGGTGTGCGGTAAGAGCCAGGCCGTCTTTACTGGAGTGAGTGCAGGAGACACAGTTTACAACAACCTCTAGCATTGTCTTAACCATCTGATAAAAAGTTCACTATAATATTTATTGTATAATGAAGAAAAAAACAACACATTCAGGGAAAAATTGAGATTAACTTATTTTTCTTAAAAGGTTCATCTCAAGGATGGCAACAAAGTCCAGCTTGTGCCGCCAAACGGTTTTACATGATCAAACCGTGTACAGCTTCTTGTGTGAACTGTTGACTACAAACATTTACCAAATACATAAATCTCTTTTAAAAAAGCCATTTTAAATATAGCAAAGCAGTGTCTTCTTGCACAGCAAAGTGAAGAAAGTTTCTACAGAGAAATAAAAGTTTTACATTTGTAAAATCTTTTTCACATTCTAATTATCTAGCTTTTATGATCCAATGCCAGGAGTTTTCAGGTTCCTTATTTACTATGTATTTCTTGTGTGCAGGATGGTTAATGCATTATTAGTCGTCCTTACAGTTAAAACGAAATGGTAAAACACGTACTGTTCTCTGAGAACAAACCCCTGATTTAGTTTTATAACACAATGGACATAATTAGGGCTCAAAAGATGGAGTTTTGATTGGGACCACCTGTGATCACACAACGGTGACTTTCACTCTCAGTGCTGAACCACTTAAGAGTGCCGGAGGAAGTACAGCGGGTGAGGACTTCCTTTAACCAGTGCAACGTAAGCTTTTTTTGCTTTTGTTTTTTTAGTAATAAAATATTTTATCTGAAGGGATAAAATTTTCCTGCTATGGTGTCTTATACAAAACACACAAGTCTGAAAGGACAAGAGTTGGTTTTAAAGCCACACCATTAGTATCTTCCGCACTCTAGGGTGGTTTCTACCAAGAGATATGGATGTGGATGTGTTTGCACGTGGGTGTCTGGGTGAAGGATGTCTGTCAAGTCCACATGCTCCAAATCACAATGGGCGTATGGGAAAAGATTAACAGTCAAATATTCAGTTCCTGAAAACAGAATACATTGTTACTTGGTTAGTGTAATTTAAATACAAACTCCGAGCCTTGTGTAATATTATTTTAGAAAAACAGTAGTTGTACTGATTATAAACCTGCATAGAAAGACTACTGAGATACAGTCAGAAAAGCCATCTTATAAGGCACACAAGAAAATAGACAGTAAATGTGAATTTTTAACTCCTCCCATATACAGCAGAAGTTCATGAACATGCATAAATAATAACGAGGGATCACCTAACACTTTCAAAGCTATAAATGGTTTACAAAGTGGTAAGGATTATCTTGGAAATTCAGTGTTGGGAGACTCTTGTTTCCATTAGGTGTGACCTTATGAAGAAATGTGCCTCTAAGGAGTTCAATTAAAAAGAAAAATGAATCTTTTCTGAATAAGAGCCAAATACCTACACTGAACAGAGGAGACTGCGTATCATCCCTGCTTTTTTTGGCTTCTACCGAAACTTATTATCAAACTGCCATTAAAACTTCAAAGAAGCTCCATTCTGCAGCCTGTGACGAACACAGGCTTATTCTGTACCTAAAACCCACATGTCAGTCAAGAAATCTGACTGACGATTTGTCACAAACAGCAGATGAGGAAAATGTCAAAAGGAACATAATTTTTTTGGGGGGGGGCAGACAAAATGTAGTAAAAATTGTAGGTAGCTGCTCAATATTAAGTTTAAAATATAAAATAGCAGCATTTAAACTCTTTTTTTGGAGTTTCTCAGGAAAAGGAGTATTTAAAAATCTATAATAAAAGATATACCGGACTTTGAATTTTGTTCATGGCACAAGCCCAGTGAACGGATGAACTTGCTATCACCAGTGAGTTGTCTTCCTGTAAGAATAAGGCCTTGACTGAAACCCAAGCTGAGGGTGGCGCTACTTCCGGTCAGGATGGCAGGAGCCAAGGACCTGCACCATAAAAGAGTGGTCCCCATACCAGAGGCCACTTCAATGTACACAGCAGGTGCAATGGTGCACTCTGTAACCAGCCACATCATTCTATTTTTAGAGGGTCAAGGAAAAAAAGATCCCTTTCCTCACAAATATTTTTTCCCTAATCATTTACCACTTATAAAACCTTTGTGCTCATCTACTATTTTGCCATTTTCTCTAATATTAATTAAATTAGGTCATCTTTTTCTACTATATTTTTTCCTCACAAAAGGCAAGTTTTAAATAATGCCTTATAAAATCTGTTACAACACATTTTATATTTATGCAGGATGAACTTAACACCAATTTTTGCCACTTTGCTATTTATATACACATATAAAATATATAATGATGCTCGCCCCATACAGCACAAAGATTACAATGGAACATTCACATTCACCACCAGTGAGGGGAGAGACCCCTTTATACAATCCTCTGAAAAAACTGGGCCAATAATTAAAATCCAAAGTACAGTATATTTAACAAAATAGTAAATATTAAACAGTGAATACTCTACTTAGTTAGGACTTCGCCTTTCCCCCCAAATTGGCGGCAATCCACAAAAATATACTTTTTAATCTGGTGACCATACAATACATAGGTACTTACATCAAAGGTGATAATATATTTAAGATGCTATATACATGAAGAGTTTGGCTCAACTTTCAATTTACATATAGAATATTAAGTGTTCATGGCTTTTTTTTTCCAAGGTTCTGCTTGCAAGATATTTTTGTTTGTTTTTTTTCCTCCCCTCTGAAAATAAAACTAAAAAGTTAAAACAAGATAAAGCTATTCTCTAAAAAAAAGTTACAACGTACAGCTTTGGCTTATATAAATAATTCATAGCAGAATGTGTTCAAAAGTAGTGAATATAATTTTATATATAGTCATCAATTCATAAGGGTGTTTTCTTTCATATAAAATATACATGAGCTAAAATCATTTTAATTTTAAAGATATGAATGTAAAAAGAAACTTCTGACATATTCCAATTATAACTTAATATATTAATTTTACTTTGTTAATGCTCTATATTTCTAGGCTAGTATTTTCTGAACATCTCATGCGTATTTTATACTCTCTTTTTTATTAGCTAAAGATCACTTCTTTGACCCAATACATTTTTGTACGTGCAAAAACAGTTATGTGTGGGGCCTTTGTTTTTTTTGTTTGTGTTTTAATATCAACAGCCCTTTCCCATGCACCCCTTTGCAATAGAGACCATGCCAGGCTGGGTAATTAATATAAATGACATCCTATGTACAGTATTGCTTTCTTGGTTCCTGCTTTTCTACTGCTCTGTTCTACAAAGCATTTTTTCTGAAGTAACTACAGTCACCACACAGTTAAATAAAACAAGTAGGGGCCCTCTAGGTTTCTGCAAGCTAGTGTGGGAGAATTATATATGGGTACACATTTCTTTGCAAAAACTGGTTATCGTATGAAACAAGTAGTCCAAGGAAGTGCCAGATTGGTCTGTGCCTACAGGGTGCTTTGTCTGCCTCGGGACACCATCTGCAGACCTATAGGGAGTTTGCAGTAAGTGCCTGATTCTGTGTATGCGACACACAGCCACACGTACACACTCACACCCACATACATATACATGTACAGTGACATATATGTATGCATGTACATATAAATATATTTAACTCGTGTCCTTATTTACCAATCTAGATCTGCAGGGCAGTTCACTGCAGTGACACAAAGCACAAGCGCGAGCCAGGAGGCCTTAGGTCACCCATGCGTCCATCCTCATGCGCTTTACAGATGGACTTTCTCTGTCTTCAGTGTTTGGAGGTCGGCCAAGCACAATGGGAGAATGGAAGTCGCCCCGTGGATCCTCCCGGTCACTGCCATCATAGGAGCTGCTAGAGCTGCTCAGACTGTCCACAGGGGAGCGCCCCATTTCCTGCCGGGGCTGAGGCTGGGGCTGCGGGGGTGGTGGTGGCGGTGGCTGCTGCTGCTGGAAGCCTGATGGGGTCATTCGATCCCGGGGAGGTGAGATTGGTTCTGATTTAATGTTGATGTTTTGGTTGGTGTTAATGGACAAATTCGAACCCTGAGATAACTGGCCTCCAGCGCTGAAGGAAACAAAAGAGAGAGGTTGAGGTGGTTTGGGAGTGTGTTTGTGTCACCCGCCTGTTAGGACCACAGGGCCTGAAATCCTGCTGGAACTCCCTGAGACCGGCTTTGCCATTCCCTTCAGTGTGAGACACAAAAAGAAATCACATCTTTCCGGGAGATCACATCCCAGTTTGGTTGGCAACTCTTGGGCTCAAGTAACTCCCATGCCTCAGCCTCCCGAGTAACTGGGACTACAGGCGTGCACCAAATGCCCAGCATTCCAGGTTCTTTTTATTGGTTGTTGTTTTGGGGATTTTTTTTTGGCATTACTGGGGTTTGAACTCAGGGCCTCTAGCTTGCTAGGCTGGTACTCTAGCATTTGATCTGTTCTACCAGCTCCTTGTTGTGTTGAGTATTTTCAAGATAGGATCTTGTGGATTTGTCTGGGCTGGCTTTGAACTGTGATCTTCCTGATCTCTGCATCTTAAGATTACAAGTGTGGGCCACTGGGTTATTTTTAGTGTTTTCATTTAGGAGGCTCAGAACAAGCCTGAGGGCCGAAGAGTTGCATAGGTAAGAAATTTCTCTGAGGTACTGTGCTCCTTTCCCCCTAATTCTCAAGAAGACTACTAATTACAATGTGTGTACAGAGTTCTTTCAGATCCAGGGGGAATGGATTTCCGGGTCAGGCCCTCCAGGCATTCTCTGGGAAGGAGGCTGGGAAGATAGGGTACCTCTATTGCCCTGAGCTGGTGCAAGGCAGCCAGCTGTGTCTGATATGCTGTCCCTTTTTCCGGCTGTTCTCTCTTGCCTGCTCCATGGGCCTAATGTCATCCTGGTTGTATGAAGGTTTGTTCCATCTCTTTGCTGCTCAGGGAGTCTAGTCTGTTCTGGGCACCACCATAAATCCTCTTCTCTTATATTCTTATACCCTGCCCATAAAGTACATTCTTTTTGTGAAAGAGGTATGGTATGTACTAGTTTGGGACCAACCACAGGAATCCCAAGAAGCCTGATTCATACATAGGATACCCAGTCCTTTTTTCTTAGAAGTCCTACTTCTAAGATCCAGGGAGAAAGGAAAAGGGACAGTCTCATACTCCTCTTATCTTCTTCAGAGAGTCATCAAAGCAAAACGAGGGAAGAAGAGCAGGTGAGCCAGAATGCCTTCAACCTACCTTTCCTCAAGCAGTGGAATCAGGGGCAGGTGCTAGGAGGCTGAGTGGGATAAGGTGACTCACTCACTGATCAGTAGGCAGGAGGGGCACATGCAGGTAGCATCTGTGCCATGGAACCACCTTGGATATCAGCTGAGTCTCTACTTCAGTGTGTCCCAAAAGAAAAGACTCACTCCCTGAATACCTTCAAGGGATTCCTGGTTTGCTCAGTATCCAAGCTACTATCTAGAGCCATGTTAAGAAAATATTTTCTTCCATACTTGTTTCCACCTAAAAGAATCACTGTAGGGCTATTCACATGACAGCCAGGAGAGGAAAAGAGTATAACTGATAAGAGTACGTAGGCTAGGAGTAAAGGCTTGGGAAATTTCTAGTTACTCACACGAGAGAGCTGAGGGCCGCTTGTCCTAGATGGTGCTGCTGCCAGGCCGAAGCCTGCCCCAGAGACAGCATTCCTGGGGAGGTGAAGCCTTGCAGGGCTGACAGGTCAGCGCTGGTCAGCGAGTAATCTACAAAGGAAGACAAGACCGCTATGCTGGGCTGTTCCCACACAGTTGCTATTTTAAATACATATGCCTGCATGCCCTCTGGAACAAAGAGAAACATTGGAGCTCACCCAGATTGCATCTAGATCAAGAAGTCTTGATGAAGGGCAACAGGAAAGACATAGGGTCCCTTCCAAAAGGTGCCAAGCTTAGAGACACTGACATAAATTACATACATTTAGGTACTGCTCCCCGACTGCATGTAAAACCATCTCAAGTTCATGAAAAAAGTTTCCATGTCACAAGAATACAGCTCATTTGATATGAATGTTTTAGTCATAATTAACTGTGACCAAGACTTATTAGTTATTATCAGACATAGTTATTTTAGTTCATCATTTACACTTAGCTTTTCCATTTAATTCCAAAGAAAGGTGACAAAAACTCTTCTACTAACAACTTTTCTCTCATGTCTCAAAGGAGGTGTTTAAAAAAGAAGTCAGTCTTCCTGGTGAGTTGGCATTTTGAAAAAAAAAAGGAAGTGAGATGAAGCTGCATAGCTGGTACTCAGGTTTCTGTCAGGACTAAACTTTCTTACTCTCTAAATGCTCTAAGAGTGTCTCAGCAGTGCTGTCCTGTCCTGACAGAGGCCAGGGTGGGAATCTATCACACTGATACCTGCCCCAGTGCCCTCTGCAGCCCACAACTCTCTTTTGACCTCTGGGCCTTCCCAATGACCCATCTGACATGTCTACTTGGATGCCACTTCAAACTCCTCAAATTTTACATGGCCCAAAACTGTATTCATGTTTTCCTCTAAATCTGTTCCTCCTTAACCACACCATAACTTAGTAAATGGCACCAACATACACCCAGTGGCTGGTGCCAGAAACCTGTGGGTGTGATCCTTCTTGCTTCATTTCCATCTGACTTTCATCAACTACCAGGTCTAGTAAGTTACATCTATGTCTCCCAGGCCTGTCAAAGTTTCAGTGTTTACTGCCACCAATTTGGCCAAGCCACCAGCAACCATTACTTGAACCACTTTGCTTTTTACCTGTAGGGACATGGTAGTCAAAGTGATTTTTTTTTTTTTTTTTGGTGGTGCTGGTGTTTGAACTCAGAGCTCATGCTTGCTAGGCAGGCGCTCTACTCTACCACTTGAACCACTCCACCAGCCCCCAAAGTGATCTTTTTAAAACAACATATATGATTGTGACACTCCTTTACTTACAACTTTTTATGGCTTCCTGATGCTCTCAAAACAATGTCCCAAATCTACAACATGGCCAATGAATCCCTCCAAGATCTCCAATCTCAACCCTAACTGTTCTGCTTACATCACTTTCCCTGCTCAGTCTGCCTGAAGGCTGACACACCCTTATGTCCTGGCTGAAAGGTAATCCCCGACACAACCAGAATAGAGTTGTGAGTCTTTCTCACAACAGACCCCAAGTTCTGGTGTTGACTATTCACTCTTTTATTTCCAGTGCCCAGCGAAGCACCTGCCACAGTGTCCAACAAGGATTTGCGGACTGCACGAATCTCTCCTGAAACTGGGTTATCTTACTGATGAGCATGAGGAATTATCTACAGGATCCCTCTGCACAGACTAGTTTACATTTATTTCACAAAGTTGCCCATTTATTCATCCCTTGAGCTACTGCTTGATATGGGTTTGACACTAAATATGTATAAAAAGGTAGGGTGACATACTAGAGAACATAAAACACGGACAAAGTCTTTCAGAAAGGCAAATACCTTAAAGATAAAATGGCAAAATCAATCAGAATAGTCATTCTGAGAAAAAGAGCAAAGATAAAGTTAAGTCAAAGATGGAATGAGGCTGAAGCTGAGGGACACATGATTTCAAGGGGGCCAGACTCTATTTTTATATGTTTTGGTAATTCTTCTACACTTTATAAAATACATATATTCATGCTTTAAAGTATGTACTGGGTATATAAATTCTAATGTAAAGGAATTTCTAAAATTAAGTATAGTGAAATTTCTAAGTGTACTGAAAAGCCTGTAACAAAATGCTCAATAAACTGCCACCTCACTGACACTCAGTCTAAGCTCTACCTTCTCAGCCAACACTCCTCTGAGGATCCAGGCTCTACAGGTCCCTTCTTTCTTACCTTCTCAATTTCAGAGTACAAACTAGAAGCTGCAACAACACAGGACTTCCCCTCTGTGGTTACCAGCCTAGCTATGTCTCCTCATCTAGAATGAAGTTTGAGAAAGATATGTCTCTGGCACGGTATCTCATATAGCAGGTAATGATTAATGGCTGAAACAGAATTTCTAAGGATGCTTAATCCTTCACTTTACTGTGGAACTCGTTCTGTGCAAGGCACAAATAATGGACTATAATTCACAAACTCTAAGCTAGCTTGTAGTTGGCAGACTTAGGCATTTTTTGTGCTGATTGTTGGAAAAGATAATGGAAAAAGGCTCTTTTTCAACAAAACTTTTTAAAGCTGTTTCTGTTTTAAAAGAACTTATACTTGGAATTAAAATGGCAATTCATCAATTGTTCTCCCCACCTCAGGTAGCTCCAAACAGCAGTTTGAAAGCCGGGTGCCAAAGCATTGACCCTGAAGTCTAAAATTAGATGATCTCTACTTATGAGAATCAAAAAGAGTAACTTCCCTGCACTGCAGTCTCTGGATAACTGGCAAGGTATAATTTACTGTTTTCTCCTTTCAAGCAACAGGTGTTTGGCTCAGCTGGGGTGAAAGTGAAAGAACATGCAACTTTCTGTCTTCCTTAGAAAGGTAAATGTAGAGGGAACCTACTGCAGACTATACTTCTCTAGACAGCCCACTTGGCAAACAAAACCCTACCACCCCTGTGGTACTCTTAAACTTTCCAACATATCTCCAAGTTAGGGAATTTTAAGATGAAGTGTCAAAATAAACATAAATGAGCGAAGAGCTCAAAGAGTGACTGGCTGTGGGAAGACACTAGGAAAGTCCTTGTATCCTCAGACACAAATGATACAAAGCACACTAGTAGTTATAGGGAAGAAAACACAGCTTGCCTGTCATGACTAAATACCTGCCACGTCCCCAAAGGGATCCATGGTCTTGTCCAAAGTGATTAACAGCATAAGACAAACACTTTATTTAAAAAACCTGGAAGAGTATGATACCGTGTAATGAGAAACTATATAAAAAACACCTGAGCAACAAACAGGATACACATTTTGATAAGAGCTATCTGTTTCTTTGTTGGGGTAATTAAAAGTTCATGTTGGAGACATAAAATAACTTACTCAACTCATTCTACTTCCTGTAACTTTTTAAAGGCTAGCATGTACTTTTAAAATATATTCCAATTTCAATCTAAAACTCTGGAGATGTCTAATTTCAGTAAGTATAGTTTTAACATACCCACAAAACAGAGAACAAAACCCAGGAAGGCACCAGAGATAGCTCACCAGTGTTGTAGGCTGTCGGCATTGCTGAGTACACAAGTCCCTGTGGAGGCAAGCTTGGGGTTGTCACAGACACTACTGGGGTAGCGAGAGGTTGAGTGGCTTGAGAAGTGCTTATCCTTTGGGTATTCTGTGAGAGATTAGAAAAGAATAAGTGTTATTACACAGTACTTATGTGCAGACTTATTATTTTTAAACCCACTTTCAATTCAAATGTGACACTTTTCACAGTTTTGTGTGAATATCATTATTTCCTGGAGCAGTGATGATATGAAAATCTTAAAAATACTAATGGGAATAACTAAATATTTAATTTTAAGGCACCTATTTTATAATAATTATTCACTTTCCCTTTTTAAAATGTAGTTTATTATTGTCTGAGGAATAGCTTTAAAATAGAAACTTACCATATCAGTAATAACATGTTTATGTATTAGTATAATGAGGACCTGAAATCTTTTACAAATATTGCCAGGCTACCTTGAATGAAATATGTTTTTAAATACCTGATGATAGCAAAGGTCATTTATATATATAGGAATTATAAGTCTATGACTATAGGAGCCAAAAGTATTTTTCTTTGCACCATTAATTAACATGGTTTGAAGTCATGGCTTATATTAAGTGCAGCTTTTGTTCTGCTTTCCTTTGCTGTGATACTTTGGATGACCTGTTTTTTAACAGCAGATTCAGCTCTGCATCCCTTTGGTCTCCCTTCTGAAAAGAAAGACTTTGAGTAGAAAGCTTTTAAATCAGGAACTAATGAAAGGGCTGTGAGTGGAGCAATATCAAATGCTTGCTGACTGACAGTATTTATATAGTATCTTGACCACACTGGAAATCAATTAAAGAGCCCACTATTAAATAAACAATAGTTTATGATAGTCATTGGGCTCTGTATGTAGGAATATGATAGATTCAGTTTCTCTCCACACTGACTTAAAATAATATTTTTCCAAAATCAAGGATCAGAGGAACAAAAAAGATTCTGCATTGCTAGTATGCAAGAAGGCCACAGCACAACTTCAACTTATTTTGAAGAAAGTTACAACTTGACTAATTGATAGGTCTAAGGCCTAACAGTAAAAGTGTAATTCAGTGTCCTCAGAATGTAGTCAAAATGTGACTTGGTTTTCTCTATCATTATTCTCAGAAGGGTATGAGATGAAAGCTTTCAAGTAGATACTTGAAAACTCATCATTTGAGGAGCATCCAGATCTCAGTTTAGTATTTATTTGTTTGTTTATTGATTTATTTGATGGCAGTGATGGGGATGGGACATAGGGTTCTGCATATGCTAGGCAAGCACTCTTATCACTGTTTCTTTTTAGATCCTATTTTCTACATCCTATCTTAAGTTAGAAGATGCAGAAAGATTACTGTAGATATACTGCCTGAGTTTTGGTCCCAGATTCTCTACTTCCTAATAAACCTGGAAAAAAATTACTTAACCTCTCCCAAACCTCTAAATTTGTTATGTAGGGAAGATAACAATCTTTATCCCTGCCTGGCTTGCAGTGCTATTGTGAGAATCAAATGAATTACTATGTTACAAATGCTTAGATAACTCAAGTACTACAGAAATACATTCTTTTTTTTTTTCTTTTCCTGATGGTACTAGGCTTTGAACTCAGGGCCTCACACTTGCAAGGCAGGTGTTCTACCACTTGAGTCACACCTCTAGCCCATGTATTCTTAAATTATTACCCCAAGAAACTCTCTATAATCAAATTTATATATATATTCCTTTTGAGCCACACTTATTCTACTAGAGCTGTAAAAAGTAAAGCTGTTGTAGAACTGCAAGGCTTCTAAAGGAATCTCTGTAGCCTGGCTTTCACCAGAAAAAGTCCTTAGTATAGGCTCTAGGAACCTGGGTATCTGTTCTTTCTCACTTTGGATCAGAACCATCCATGATAATTTTAGAGCTCAAAGCAATTTGAACAACTTTCTAATTTCTAACAGATTGTGTTTGTGATCCTATTTTGATTGTGACACATAAAGCTCTGACTTTTTAATTAAGTTTTAGACTCTGAGTTAGCTTACACTTTAAAGAATATGAATGGATATTTACAATTTTTAAGGTTCCTTTGTTTTAGTCACACTTATTTTTATGTTTCCTACATTTAAAGTCTCCAAAAATTTACCTCTGAGATTTTGTAATTAGAGGTGTACTTTCAGGGAGGTGGAAAGTCAGTGTATGACAACTGGTGACACACGTTAGTCTTGGCATACCTTTTTGAGATAGGGATCTACTTTGGACTTAATTTGGCCTTTCCGTTAGGTCTCTAGGCCAAACTAGGTCAAAGAATACAGTATGAAATGGCTAGTGTGGGCTCTCCCACTCCATGGCTTCATCTCTATGGCAAACTCCCAGTATGACCTCAATGACAGGGGTAACAGTGACATGCCAATACATTGCTTTTATTCATCAAACTCCTAATTTCTTTGAACAGCACTGAGTTCTACGAGTAAGTGACTTTCACAACCACTAGAGGGCAACATAATGCCAGATAATTCATGGAAACATTAAGGACAATTTAAGGGTCAACAAGGAGGTCTATTAGAAGATGGTTTCAATCTGAACTATTTGAACATCATTTGCTAATGACTGTGGCATCACTGAGCAAAGTATTTCTCCAAAAGATACTCATGATATAATCGAACAACACATTTACAGCTAACCAGTATATTTCAGCCAACTGATATAAAACCACACCCCAAACTAAGTTATCACAAAGCTAAATAAAGAACAATCCCATATTTTAAGGATAAAGCACAAGTAATTTTATTTGAAAAGAAAACAAATTGTGCAAAACACAGCAGCATGCATAAACATGTACTAACAAAATGTAAATAAAACCAGTGTATGCCTTTATACCCCATGCTTGCATGCACCCCTAACCCTGTCCACAATGACAATGGAACACTTTTTGAGTTTTTATTCCCCTTAGTGTCATCTAATTAGCTGCTGACTCCTTTGAAGTTGGGTTTGAGTTCTCAATGGAGAAAAGAAATAATTTTTTTAAAGTCAAGTTTATTTTCTAGAGGAATAGTCAATAGAAAAATTTGTTTTTTGGGGAAAAAAAAGGTAACAGCTGTTGTTAAAGAATATCTCCTGATAGAAAAGTAAATTTGTTTATGTTCAATTAAAGATATTCCTTTTAGTAAACAGGGAACACCCCTTGTGGTTCAGATTGTCTCACACAGGATGAAATAATTCCAACTATGAAAAAAGGTGACCTCACCAAAAATGATGTAATCCTTTGGAAAGAAAAATAACACAAGACTCTCTGTTACAATGTGAGGAACTTTAAGGGTGAAGTCATTTTCTAAAAATATTTTAATAATTTGGAGAACTATATAAGGTATTTTGTATATTTCCTTAAAAAAAAAACTTTAGCAAGTGTCCTGTGGTTCATATGGACAGCTACTGTTTTTGAAGGCTCTATTTCAATATTCCTTCCAACAAATAAAATGAGGCAACAAATGTAATTATAAACAGAAAAACTACAGTCTGTAGTACCAGCAGAGTGCTTTCTTCATTCAGAGGGTTTGGGCAGTGTTTAATAAAAAGAAAAATATGTGTAACAAAGCAACATCGGTTAGATAAAAACAATTAAGGGAATTAGTACTGTCTGTATCTTTTTCAACTGCATTCAAGCAGAAACCCACACTCACCAACTCCAATTCCTCTTCCTCCGACTGTACTCAGCACATAAGAGGGATAAGAGAGTTACTAAGACTGTTGGTACTTGCAACAAAATATTTCTTTAGGAAAACATAGTATTTGGATACAAGCAATTTTTTGGAACTCTAAGAGATGATCATATACACACAACAAATAAAAATACAAATCACTTGGCTTTTCTTTTTCAAGTTACTTATTGTCTCTAAAATCAGTTGATTTTTTGAAAGAATGGAAAATTCTTTTCAATTCTCTAGGGCCAGATCTTAAAGCCCTTCACCAGCACCCCCACCCTCAGTATTTTCTTATGCTGCGCTTACACGAAGCCATACTCCTGGGACACTTAAAAAGGCTCCTAATGATGACAGCAGTCTGTATCTGAAGTCCTGAGAATACTCTGAACTTAATCCTCCCACGACCACCCAACCTGGCACACAAGCCCATGTATCTCCTGCTAGACTCTGGGCTCCCTGGCAGGTGATATTGTACCTTTTATTTACCACAATAGCCACCACAGTGCTATGAAACAACAGGAACCCAAACACTGTTAATAAAATATAAGTTTTAAATAACAAGTTTATATGTGTTTATTGTTTGCCAATAATAGTTTTCATATGAATAAAATAATTTGAGTGGAGTAAAACCATATATGTGAAGAAAATGAACCTAGAGAAGAAATGAACTGTTAAGTCATGAACAGTACAGAAATGAAACCTTTTCTCCTAAACATTTATAAAATATTAATATGCTAGAAAGTCTACTCATGAGTTTTGTTTTTTCATTTTACTTAAATAAGTCCAGTCTCTTTCAATCTGTGAAGTGTCTTCATGAATATCACTGATAGATGACGCCATTATCTTGAAGCAAGTTTCTCTGAAAATGAATGGTGAATGGGGAGGAGGGCTGATTATTTACTATGAAAAACAATTACTTGGCTTTCAACTGCTACCTCAAATGTGGATAAAATGGTATTTAGCTATTCTCTTATACATAATCATGACGCACCTCCAAGTACAAGGATACACATCAAAACGTCAAAATTATGTTATATGTAAAATCAGTAGTTTTTACTTTCATATATATAGGGATATGGGTGCAAATAGTTTATACAGAAAGTTTTTAGTTTTCTGTAGAGAGGCTTCATGATTTCTTTTATGAAAAGGACCAGGTGTAATTTTATAAATGTCTAAATGTAGTTTGTGTTTAAACTCTGCAGTTTGCTAATAATCCTAATACACATGCTTCTGTGTCTTAAATGAAATACTTTTTTTTTCTTCTGAAAGGTCGTGGCAGGCATTGGCACTGGGCATCCAGCTCCCGACGGAGCCGAACGGCTTTCCTAAATGCTGTTTTTCTTGGTTCCTTTTTCAGTTCTTTGTTTGTTATTTGTATATGTATTTTCAACTTTTTATTCTGAAACAGTTTTTGACTTAGCAGTTGCA